GAACTGTTATTAAATATATTACGCTTAAACTTACAAAAAAAAGCTTGTATCTCGTTGATAAGTTAAATCAATCCCCTGTGGTTATGTCACATGGTTAAGCCAATCACAGGTTAAAGGTTATGGAGATACTATGGGACACTGAAAGTGAAACCTACTTATCTTCGGAATACGTAAACAATTAATTAAGTCATAATTGTAATTATTCAAATACTGATAAATACAGTCAAAAGTATTTATATTTATACTTTGTCCTTTGACCAGAGAATAACTAGGATTGATAACAAATGGCTGATTGATTAATTGCTCCATGTGTTGAACAACAACAACATAAACGAATATTCAGAATAGAAAATTGGTGATTTCATTCTTCAATAGAAAAAAATAGTATTACCCGCACACAAGTATACCCTGCAGTTGGCATTTTTGAAAACTAATTTATCATATAGTCTGCAGGTTATTTGCATGAAAATACGGCAGATCAAAATAAAAGTATGTCAGTATGAAAATATCATTGCTGTTTAAAGTATATGTGGTTGGTCAAAATAAAAGTATGTCAGTATGAAAATATCAGTGCTGTTTAAAGTATATGTGGTTGGTCAAAATAAAAGTATGTCGGTACAGCATTAGCATGAAACTTAATTCCTAAACTTTGAATCCTAATTCAATAGAATTACATCATAAGTATTGCATTGTAGCAACTTTTATATCAGTAAGTTCATCTAAAGGTATGTAGCTGTTAGTGTTGGGTGTAAACTAATGTGTGGGTTACACTTCTTGGTAATGATCTCTACATCTGTAACCTATTGTAATTATTGCAGAGCTGGAAGCCTCTCTTTTAGTGTCTAGTCTATATTTGGTCAGTCATCAGTTACAGTGGACAGTATTGAATCATATTTACAATGATTCTTTATTTTATTATTGTGCATAAGTTGATAATGAAGTATATGTGTGGTGTAAATACTTTGTTACCAAAAGTATCCAAACATCCCTTAAACATGCATTGTGGCTCATCCAGCAACTCTGAGAACCTTGGTAAGTACAGATTCAGACACAAACTATATATGTATGTTAGTTGTGTAGAAGTGTGTGAAAGATAAAATGTTATGAATTTCAAAATTTGAAAAAGGAGTAATAATAGACAGCTGAAGGTATGGAAAGTCTGTGCTACATAATGGTAGTGCTTGGTCATGAACATGAGTCCATTTATGGTGGTATTGAGAATGTGATAGTAGAACATTTAAGAAATGTTTAGGCATCATAAAAACTCTTGTTAGGATTTTGAAAGAGTGGTAATATGGTAATCACTCCTCAAAAATACTCAGTACAGTTTTACATAGCTAAAGCCTGTTAGAGCTGTAACATAAATGAATGATTCATAAATTTTTTGGAGTTTAGAGGAGTTTAACTCTTTCAGAATGGGCACCATTTTGTGCACATGTCAGGAGGTTTTAGCAAGTTACATTGAAAATTGGACCCAATACCACGCCTGCCTGTCACACCCTCTCTCTCACAAACTGCCAATTGTTCTGTATGAAGTTTAATACTATATTATTTATTACCAATAGAAAGTCAAGGTTTTAATCTGTCAAATGATGTATTATATCACATTGTTTTCTGTACAGAGAATTGTGTATTTCACATCCAGTTCAGACTTAATTCAAACGGGAATCAAAACGACAAGCTTAGCTGAATATTTAATGTCTCTTATTGGATAACTAGAAAGCCAGAAAAATTTATAGCTTTGGAACTTTGTATGCAATTTGCATGTTATTATTCTGTGTTCTTTGATACATTATTTAATTAAATAAAAAATTATTTAGTGCAGTAGTATAAAAAAAAAGTAGGGTTATGTGTCATTAAGAAGACCAAGGTAAGTTCATTATTTCTTGTTTTTCATATGTATTATTTATTTAATATTATAAAAGTAACTAAAATGTTAAAATTAGAAACTTTTTAGGTTAGATTAGGTAAAATGTAGAATAGCTCATGCATTATGTAATTTGTTAGGGTAATATGAGCTCTTGTTCACCAATTGATTTACAAATTTTGTGGCTGGAATATTAATTTAGACATGGTTAAAAGGGCAATAAAACAATGAAATTTAAGTATGAACAAATGTATGCTGTTAAGAGTTTAAAGCTTCATATTGCAATTTGAAGTAATTCTAGAAAGAAAAGAGGGTAATTTAGATTTATTTCAATTTTTACTCAAATTGACCAACCATATACATAGAGTTAGGGTAGAGAAAATAACAGATAAAATACAAAGTTGTATGAAAAATTACATTTTATAATTACTTATTTAGGAGATTTTAGAGATTACACAAATAAAATGTGAAAATTTTCAGATGAATAAACATTTTTAATCTTAACATGAAAATCACTTTGCACTTGGACTAGTAAACAAAACTACTCGATATATTCACAGACAAACTTTTATTGAAAATACTTAATTAAAAAATACAATTTATTTGTGCACAAGTCTTGCAATGTTTGCTGAAAGTCTACCAGATTATGTGAAGATTCATGTACTGTATTAATAGTTATAGTATGGAAAATGTAACACGTACAAAATGGTTACAAATTTGGTCAATTCAACCAAGGCCATGTGGAAAATGTAACACGTACAAAATGGTTACAAATTTGGTCGATTCAACCAAGGCCATGTGGAAAGTGTTAAGGACTTCAGAAATACTTGAAATTGCTCTTTTTCTGATAACAATGAAAATCCTGTAAAAGTATATTTAATGTCACTTTGTTGGAAAAGCTCTTGTAGCAAGAAATGAATAATTGATGCAGTCATTCCCCTCATATGAACAATTTCCTATCATTACACCATGATTCAAATATCTGAATAAACACTCATATACTTCATCCATTTGTATGTGACTCTTCGTGACTATTGTTTATCAAACAGCCAAGGAATAATATACACATGTTTGAAATTCAATGTGCCAGCAGTATTTAAACTTTGTCCCAATATTTTATGTCAGAGAAAGTTTAGAAGATCATTGTTATGTAATATGCTGGACTTAAAACATAAAGTTTTGAAATAACTTGACCATTTTCAGTTGTAAAAATTGAGATGAAATTAATGATTACTAGTGTGAAAGTAAACTTTTTTATTACAGAGTATGTATAAAAGCTGCTTGTCATTATAGTCAGTGAGAGAATTGAATTACATTTTTATCTTAGTATCTTAATTTATTATAAATGACAAAGAAATTTTTAATGCACCAGGAACTAATACAGATTTTTATTTTGAGCAGTAAGTTAATATGTTACTCCATGCCTGGTTTTAAAGTAATGATAAAACATCATGGAATGGTTCATTCAAGTCTGAGATTTTAACAAAGTAACCCTGTGGAAGGATTACTTTAAAATATTAGACCACAACTTTTCAGCTGACTTAACTTTTGAGGAAATGGTGGAAGGAAGTGGTGTAATTACAAATTATATAAAAGGTTTTTTTAGTGTCTTGAGGAGAATCATTTTTCTAGCTACAAAGTGTATATCATCCATGTTCAGTTTTAAAGTAACAGTAATGCCATTGTGGAATGGTCTGCCAACTTAAAATAAAATAACAACAACATTAGAGCAGTGTAATATTGTATGGCAATCAAAGTTACGTTTTATATCTTCTGTGACTGAAATGAAATACTTCATGGATTGTTAACCAGAATGACATATTGTGTTTATGAGATATTTAGTTTGTGAAGAAGAAAAAAAGAGAAGTTGGGTTGCTTGTACATTTTGTTTTCTCTTCTCTGTAATTGTTGTGTTTTTCATGTTGCATATATGAATCCTAGTTATATAGGAAATAATTTGAAATATTTTGCAGGTTAGGAAGCTTTCTTCTGTTTTAAAGTTCAAGGAGGGTATGAAACTGGAAGCTATAGACCCTTTGAACTTGTCCACCATTTGTGTTGCCACAGTTACCAAAGTGTTGAGAAACAACTACTTAATGATTGGTATTGATGGAATGATGGCAGCTAATGGATCTGACTGGTTCTGTTATCATGCCTCCTCACCATGCATCTTCCCCGTAGGATTCTGTGAACTCAACAACATTGAACTTACACCACCAAGAGGTGAGTTTTGTAGCAGATTTGATAAGTACTGGATCTCATTAGTTGCTGGCATTCCACGAGATCCAGAATTAATTTTTAAACCTACCCGTAAAAGCATTCCTGTGTTGCATGGAAAAGATAGATATGAAATACAATTCAAGAGAAAGAGAAATTATTACAGAGTTCAGTGTAATCAAAGAGGACTGCGTGATTACTTATTAATAAGGCCTGGTGGTTCAGGTGTTCAACTCGCAATATGCGAGTCACGGGTTTGAATCCCTGTCACTGAAGATTCTCACCCTTTCAGTCATGGGGGTGTTATAATTTGGCAGTCATTGCCACTGTTCATTGGTAAAATAGTTCCATAAGAGTTAGCTGTGGGTGGTGTTGACAAGCTGCTTTTTCTCTAGCCTGTCACTGCCAAATTAGGGATGGCTAGCACAGATAGCCCTCGCGTATCTCTGCTTGAAAGTCAAACCAAGGTCTTTATATATTAATAAAGACCTTTTTTCTCTGCTTTCATAGTTTTGCTGAAGTAATATCCAATTTTTACCCTCCCTTTTTTAATAATGATTGGATAGATTTAAGACAATTATCATGGTTTGCAGTTTTTTTGCTGATGAAGTACTTGTGACATGGTGTAATTAACTTAAGGATTAAGTACATTATGTAAAACCAAAAAAGGTAATTAAGTGGGTGAGTAGGTATTAAAATCACATTAGGTAATTCATTTTATTATGTCAAATTTGTTTATTCAATTTTACATAAATTCCATGGTTTCATGGCAAAACAACCATTCAAAGAAAATTTATAGATATCATTTCAACCTTAATTACAGGAAAAAGAGTTAAATCATATTATATATTCATGACATTTAAAGATATACATTATTATTTGTTTATACTTCAGCCATACATATCAAAAACTAACAAATAAGCCATTTTGAATTTAAACTCTCCATATATTTCTCTCTGAGATGTGTGCTTTCTGTATTCAGGGTCCATAGCAGTCCTTAAAATTTCTTAAATTGATGTTATGTTTTTTTAAGGCCTAAAAAAAGTCTTAAATTCACAGGTTTTGGTTTCTGAACTCTTAAAAGGGTCTCAAGTTTAATTTCTGTAGATATTGATGCTGTATCTTCTTCATAACTTTGGTTTGTTCCACACTGCACCTATGCTTAACAGCATAACAAAACTTTGCATTCATTCTATCTAGGCCTACATGAAATTGGGAGCACTAAATCGAGTTTAGCTCATTTTGATAGACATGTACAATGCTGCTAATACAAATGGAGGGTCTAGGCCTACTGTGCTTAATACATTTTCTGCTTGATGATTTTTTGGAGTTTTGAAATTTCACTGGCTTGTTAGAAGTCGAAGCAAAATTCAACATAATAAATGAGTGGATTCTCAATGATAATGTATTTTTCATTAATATTCCTCTTGCAGTATTATGTGATCCAATAAATAGCATACAAATACATGTGTACAGATCTTAAATTTGTGTTTAGCTTGGTCTTAAAAAGGTCTTAAATTAGTTAGCTGATAGTGTTAGGAACCCTGGTGTTTTCTGTGTATCTATTCTCTTGTGACTTGTTAATATAGGACATAAAGGAGAGTTCAGATGGTTTGAATATCTCAAGCAGACAAAATCAACTGCAGCCCCTGTTGCTCTTTTTAAAAAGGTAAGAAATTTGAAATAAACTCATATTTCTCTTATTGTTGTTGTTTGACAAAATCAAACTATAGAGCTGAGTAAAAATGTAATGTGTTGATAGAAACAGATTTTTTAATTCTTTTTATTTTTTTACAAAGTTATAAATCAGTAAACTTCTAGAAAATTTAAGTATATGTAAGAGGTAAATTAATTTTATCTGCCGTTACAGCTAGGAGATTAACTCAATTAATGTCACATAAAAAAAATAATCAACTCATCAAAATTAGTGTTTCTGATTATTACTGTTTTTTATTATTTCAACTATCCAGGTCTCATTTGAGAATAATTAATCAGTTGAATGTAATCAATCAGTGATTCCGACAATTAATTGATTATCAAATTCTACTAATTTCCAAGCTCAGTTTATAATATATAACTACATAAGTAGCCCTTATGAGTATTAACATAGTCAAACTAGATGTGATTTTTATCAGCTGTAGAATTATCAATTTTAAGAAGTTGGACTTTTTTTTTTAAAGATTAGTGATACATTTTTGATAAATAGCAAAGTGGTTTGTCATGTAAACTTTAGAGAGACTTCTTGGTTAAGTAATCCTGCGTTATTTCATAAAGTATTAGGTGTACTGTTATTCACTAGTTAGTGTGATGTACAGTTACTTAACTGTCTCATATTGAAATTCCTGTATAATGCATTGTGTCTTTGCTTCTGTTGTAAGTTTTGATACTAGTATAACAGCCCATTAAAAATGACAGGAAACCATTCTCGAATGATTAACTAAAATTATAGAATTTAACTAAAACTAATTTGTACCTCCACAATGCACCTACTCTTCACTTATTTCATCAGTCTCGAAGAAATTCTTTAATCACCACATTTTTAGTAAAACTATGCAGAGAAATGGAATATTATTGTGAACAAAAGTACGTGTGCACTCTGAAAGAGACATAAATAGCACTCTTGAGCCTTTTCACTGTATTCTAGGTCAGGAAGTAGAAAACATAGTGCGAACATGTCGACAAATTTTCAACTCATTCGACTGTAGGAAGGGTAAAAGATATTTGGTAGTAATAAACGTTTATTTTTATTTATGTTTTAAGGCCAAGTAGATAATGTGTTAAAATACCAAAAGAACATTTGTTCACCACTTAAAACTTTTTAAACACTGACTATAACATTAGTAATATTAGGCCTATTTGTAGTCTAATTTATAACATAAATGTAATGTAAGGCTTAGCTGAAACACTACTTGGTAAATTTTATTTTGCTTTTGGCTACAACTCAATGTCATAAACTTCTGAATTAGACTATTTTGCTGTTATATCATTGAAGTTATAAAAAAATAAAGAATAAGAAACAAACTTTTCTAACAAATCAACATGAATATTGAGCATTCAACATAAACGCCATAGTTGCCCTAAGAACAATCGGGTGATAATTTTGTTACTAAGCGATGATGTAAATTGTTGAGCATTACCAAAAAAGGGGTGTGAAAGCTTTCTTGACAGAGTGACAAAGGGAATAGGCCTATTATAATTAGTGATTTATTTGCATATTGTTAACATTAAACAAACATATTGCTTTTCAGATTATTTAATTGTTGTTTTATCTTTAATCTAAGGTATTGCACCATAATAGGCCCAGAACTTTTGATTTATTTTGGGATCATAAAATTTTAAATAGAACTTGTTTGGCAGTGACCTTGGTGGATTTTGTTAAATTCTAGTATTCACTTATTCAATATAATTTTCATGTTTTCATAACAAAAACACTCAATAGACACATCTTTGAAATGATTCCTTCATTGACTCTTTTGCGGTTTATCAGATTATTTCAAAACCCATGTACTAACTTTCTCTCTTTGAGTAGAGTTTTTGTTATCTTAAATTTAATAAATCTGTCAGATAAACTGTATTCAGGCAAGTGCAAACTTTATATGAGAAAATAACTAAAGATAATCTTGCAAGTTTTCAAGTCAAACTTACATCATGTTTTTCTTCAGGACATCCCTCCCCATGGCTTTAAGAAAGGAATGTATCTAGAAGCTGTAGATTTGATGGAGCCACGGTTGGTGTGTGTGGGAACCGTAGCTAATGTGGTCGGAAGACTACTGAGAATTCACTTCAGTGGCTGGGATGACACCTATGATCAATGGTGTGATTGTGAAAGCCCTGACCTTTTCCCTGTGGGCTGGTGTCAGATGGTGGGGTATAGGCTAGAGCCCCCTCACATGCAATGTAAGCATACTTACTTATATTTTTAATTTAAGATTTATATTATAAATAGCAAAGTGTTTTGGTGCAACTTATGTGTGAAAAAATTCCTTTGGGCTTAACAGTTAATGAGAAAAAATATTTTGAAATGCTTTAATTTTTTTGTCAAGGAATATTATTGACAAAAATTTTGATAATATTGAGGGTACCCAGCTAATCAATCAGTGGATTTTATTCATTTTAAGTGTTTATGATTTATGACATCACATACTCCTAGCTACATTTTCTACTGGGTTATAAAGTTGAATTCCAAAACCTACTTACCTCCTTTCACACTTGCAGCTAGTAATTGACTGCCAAGGGTTTCTTCCTTTGCCCATCTAAGTATTGGTCTGATTATTTTTTCACGTGCTCCTGTCTTTTATACACCACTTAGTTGTTCTTGGCAATATTTGTCTAATGACACTCTCCATCTACATCAATGCACCCTTTATCTTGGTACTGTATATAAGCACTTCATTCAGATAATGTTACCAGTTTTTCTCGAGAAAGCCTCACTAAGGGGTTTTCCAGTGCTACGATTGTTCGGAGATACTTTGAGTGTTCTCTGTGTTACATTGTTGATTTAGTTCATTTTCGTTTGAGACTTTCAATGATCTTATCCATAGTGAGATGGAGACATATATTTGATTCTGTGGTGCTCCTCCGGGAAGCTCTGAGGCTGCAATTGAGGGAGATCTTTGACATTCTATAGAGAATTTAGATTGAATTTTTCCTGCACCTTCTTTTAGTCTGTTGGCTTTTCAGTCCCGCTGTGGGACAATGTGAGTTTGCAGACTTTTAACACTGGAATTTTGGGTTTGGTTCTCTATGGTGGACACAGCAGAAAGCCCAACATTGCTTTGCCCTAACAAAACAAACTTACCTGACTAAATGTTGATACAATCAACAGATTTTTTAAATGGGGAAAGAAAAAAAAAGCCACTTTGGGATAAACTGTCTTTGATTTTGTTTTCTTCAGTTGGTTCATCGAGAGTGTGATGTTTTGGGTTTTTCCCCAGTTGTTCTTGAGCCTGCTCTTTACTTGATGGCTGAAAGGTCTTGGAGCAAATATTTAGTTTTCTCTCCAACCAGAGAGGTTTATTACTTCTCAGTTACATGAAAGGACAGTTATGCCTTATCAGACACGGCTGTTGGAACTTTGTGATTTAGTCTCCTACTGCCAGGTGGAAGCAAATTTCGACTCTCAAATGATACACCTGCTCCTCAAATTTAGGGGATTCTAAGGCAGAATTTGTAGTTAATCTAATAATGGCTGGAGACGGCCATATCGGTAGTTAATCTAACATCAGCCCCTCAGTTCATTGGTACCCAAGGGTTCTGCTGCTCCGTCAGATAGCTGTCAGTGATATCATTGATTATTGTATGCCTTTGGCATCTGTGGGGGCTTGGCTCCGAGAATTTCTGGACGTGTGGTACTTTAGCTACAGATCCAGGAGCACTACAAGTCCTTGAGTCAGGATTAGTCATTCAGTTCACATCTTCACCACTATTATCTACCCAACCTGTAGGGTTTCCATCTCCCACATATCCTCAGGACTTGGAACTTAGTTCTTGGGCTATCAGAGTTTAGTTGGTCTGGGAGTAGTGAGAGAGTCATTCTAATTCTTCCAGGGTTGATTGTAGGGCCTAAGAAGACATGATATTGGTGTCCAGTCCTTAATTTTTCTTGTTTATATCAATGCCTAGATTTTCCAAAGTTTACAAGTTACTCATTCCTCAATCTGAGTTGACATTTTTTACTGGGATTGTGGATGTCCAAGTTCATTGTAGTTGGCTCCTATCTGCACGGGAAGAAGACTCGCGGTAAGGTTAAAAGAACATACAGTACAAGACTCATGAAAACACAAAATTCAGTCATTGCAGAACACACCATGTCAACTGGACACAAAATATACTGGAAAAGAACTAGAATCAGACAAATTTTAGAAGAGAAGAATAATTAAAGAATCCTTTTACATTAACTCTTTTGACATGGGCTCATTCCCTGGGACCAACCTCATTATAGTTTACATACTAATAACTTAATATTTTCAGTGTATCTTTAAAAAATTTTGTAGACTTATAGTAAACATTAGAAGCCTTTTGCACACAAAAAAAATCAGATTTTTTAATGAAGTATTTTTATTGAAATTTGTCCGTGAAAATATCAATTCTTTTTTTTAACTAGTCTGAGTGCAAAGTGATTTTGTTATTTTCTCTACCCTATCTCAAAATGGTATTGGTCAATTCGACCCACCTCGTAACCACCAAAAAAAATCGAAATTAACCTTTCTTTCTAAAATGACTTCAAATTGTAACCTGAAACTACATTCATTTATCCTAAGTATTTCTAAGTTCGTAACATTATACATCTATTTATAATTAAATTTTAATGTTTTATTGCCCTTCTAACCGTGTCTAACTGCTATTCCCACCATAAAAGTGGTAAATCACTTGGGGAACATGCTGCTCACATTATGCTATCAAATTACATTACCCACGAGCTGCTTGCGTAAACCATTTTAATTATATTATTATTATTATTATTACATATTTTACCTAATCTAGTCTTAAATAACTTAAAAAGATCCATACTTTTAATTTTATAATAAATAAAGAATAGATATGAAAAACAAGAAATAAAGTACTTACACAATCTTCTTTTTTCTTGCCCTCAATTGCGAGGACAGTTAAGCCTGATTTCTTTTTTTTTTTTAGTGATTATAGTAAAGCAGTAAACAATTTTTATTTAATTAAATAATATATACCAAAGAATATAGACTAATAACATGCAAAAGGTAGACAAATTCACTTACCTCTCAAAATTTTCCTGGCTTTCTAACAATGCGACAAAAGCCAGTACAAGTTCTTCCAAGCTAGTTGTTAACTTTCCCAGGGGAATGAATCTTGTACTGTGAGTGAAATTAACAGTATTCTGTTCAGAATACAACTTTATACAATACACCATTTGATAGATGAAAACCTTGACTTTCTATTGGTTATAAATAATATATAATGAAACGTAAGAGAGAACTATCAACCTATTGTGAAAGAGAGGATGTGGCAGAAGGGGTCTAATTTTCTTTTTCATAGCTCTAACAAAACAAAATTGAAGGCCTAAAAATTATGGTCTGTTTGAGCAATAATGCTTTTATAGAGCATTTTACGTTTAATTTCGTACATTTTCGAAATGCGTTACTCTAGTGGAAATTCAGGATTTTTTTATATATTTCCTTTTAGAATTAAGAACTTAAAACTTTTATACTAATAAAATATGGATTATTAGCTAAGATGTTATGCTATTCTAATTTGTATAACATAAACAAAAAGTAGTTTAATAAAATTTTGAATGTAAGACACTAAAACCTTGTGTCATGTGCAGTAAAGGATACCCATACTGAAAGGGTTAACACAAAAAAACCTTCACTAAACAGAGATTCCAGATTAGAGGTGAGTAACCTGTGGCTACCATTGGTTGAATCTACAGGACGTCTTTCTACCAATCAGAAACAAGGATAAACCAACCAATCATAACAAGCCCTCCACAGTCCACTAGAATACTATATAAAAACTGACAACACCATACACACTGACCTAAAGATGAAAGGTGCAAGACTTTCAGAATGTCTTCCTCTAAACTTATGGTTTTACAGCATGTAGTTGCTGTCCATTCAACCAAATTTTATCATGAGTACTCTACCTTAACAATCTATCAAAAAGATGAGTATTATTTTGAAGTAATTATTGCTCTAACATATAAGTAAACTCAAATGCACATCCTTACATTTGTACTGTATATAAAATATACACTGAATAGACACTAAGTTGAAGGTGGGGAGGTGCATTTTGACTTGCCAAAAGAACTCGATAATGTAAGGAAGATTTTATATGCATATCAATTTCAGTGGAAGATAAGAAGCGGAAGAAAACCCAAGTATACAAAGGACAGAGAAAAAGTAAGTAAATATTTTGAGTTATTCATAATAGGTACATAATCTGATGTTTATTCAACTTTTCAGAATATTATGGGAAGGTTTAAAGTGGCTGTAGTGATATCTGAATGCTGTAACTTTATATAATTTATATTTGATTCTGTCGATACTTGTTGAAACTCCATGATTACTGAATTGAGGAAAAACAAGACAATTGTACGTTTCACAAATACATCATTCATTCATGACCATGATTTTCCCAGTAGAACGGCTGTGTGTGGATTCAACTAGTGGTAGCCATAGATGTCTGGTGGAAATCTTACAAGACAGTGATATCTAGTGAAAAACAAACAGAAACCTACTTATGAAAAACACAAAAAAATGTAATCTATGAAATTCCATGTTCTTGCAATGAAACATACATTGGAGAAATGGGAAGACAACTCAGGACAAGAATAAAAGAACACAAAGACAACACAAGACTTGTGAAAAACCAAAATTCAGCAATTGCAGAACACACTGTCAACTGGACACAAAATAAACACAAATTTTGGAAGTCAAGAAAAATTAAAGAATCTTTCTATATTAATACAATGAAGCCTTCATTAAACAGATATTTAGGACTAGAGTTGAGCAACCTATGGCTACCTTTGGTTGAATCCACATGCAGCCATTCCACCAGTCACAACACAACCAACCAGGATACTATAAAAGACCTGCAACAGATTACACAGACTGACTTGAAGATGACTTATGAAACATCATCCCCTACATTGTGTTTCTCTAAAACAGGCAGTTGCAGCCCATTCCTGCATATTCATCAAGTATTTTAATGTATATTTTAAAAAAGTGTCTCGCAACAATTTTTTTTAAAGCTAAATCAGTATATTATTTAGTAAATACATTAATAAAACACATGAAAGATCTAGAATTCTGGAGCCACGCTTGGCCAAAAAAAACATTTTATATCTACATTCATAATTAATAAAAAAATAAAAATTGGCCTTTTTATAGCAGTGTAAAACAGTGCATCACATCAGTGCTGCATATAATTTGCATGGTAGTATTTATAAAACCTTGTTTCCCACCATGAAACACGGAACTGCTAAAAAAAATAGAATCGGCACACCACCAATTGTATGTTTCCCACTAAGAAACATGGAACTACTAAAAAAACGAATCGGCACACCACCAATTGTATGTTTCCCACATTTTTTTTAGTAGTTCCATGTTTCATAGTGGGAAACATACAATTGGTGGTGTGCCAATTCGTTTTTTTAGTAGTTCCATGTTTCATAGAATCGGCACACCACCAATTGTATGCTTCCCACCATGAAACATGGAACTGCTAAAAAAAACGAATCGGCACACCACCAATTGTATGTTTCCCACCATGAAACATGGAACTACTAAAAAAACGAATCGGCACACCACCAATTGTATGTTTCCCATTATGAAACATGGAACTACTAAAAAAACGGTAAATAAAATAATTGTATCTTCACTTGTTTATCACACTGAAATTCTTATTCTTTTTTTTCTCTCAATTTTTTCATACATCTATAGAAAAGTGGGATTTTTTATGACATAATGTGTCTTAATGTTCAAATATTATGTGAATCAAATGTTCTGTCATATAAGAGTGGGACAAAGTTGGAAATTAAATAAGCGGTTGTATGCTGTTATCGTGTTTTTATCCGTTTGAAGGAGAAATACAATTCAATTGAAAACATTTTTTCTCGCTGTTAAACTTTAGTGCAAACTGTATAATTTGTCTGATTACTAAAACAGGGCCTTTCATGATTGTACAACCCCCTTTGTGAGTTTATGTTGTTTAAGAATGAGTTTCTTGTTATATATTTAAAAAAATCAACCATCCATACAATTTTACTAAAAACATGAGAGAAATTAAATATTTTTTACCAGGCTTAATAGGGTGTATTAAAGTAATTGTTTGGTTTTATGAGAAGTATTATCATTTGCCTACAGAATTAAATTCAGAATTGTTTTAATATCCTTTAGAGAAGAAGAGTAAGGCTGGGCAATTCAAAAAAACATTTGGTCATTCACCACTATCTTCAAGCTTGTTTCATGACCATACAAATAAGCAAGAAAGTGATGACACAGGTAAAATACTAGAACTGCTACTCAGTAAAATTTACTGTTTGGGTTATAACTTGCGCTGTATAATTTGCTATAATTTAAACATGTATACAGTGGATGTGTTTTGTATGTTTTTTTTATTATTATTATTATGTACACTTTGAAAGTTGTGTGTGTTTTTAAAAGCTAAGTGAATGTATTATTGTTGAACTTTATTGTATTTTTAATAAATAGACAACGAGCAGGTTTTACTCAGATTTAAAATTTATTCACATTTCATTAAATGTTTCTCACCCACATTATAAGCCTTAAATAATAAATTATTCATTGTTGTTTTTTTGTTAATGTTTATACCTAGATAAATAGTTATTTTATTTGGCCACTTAATGAAACATATTTGCCCACGATGGACAACAAGTACTTTACCGTGATCAGTTGAGTACTGCAGTTTTGAACTATGTCGGCTTCCATCAATCCAGCTAGATCAGTGACAGAGAATTTTATTCTAATGAATTTAATGTTTTTAAGTGATGGAAAGAATTTGATATTGATTTTTTTGTACACTCACACACACACCTTTGTACTATTCATAACAGAAGTAGTTTTGAGGATATTTAAATTTGCAGCTAGATTTGGTGTTTGGATTATGTTCACCTTGTGTTTTGAAATATGAATCACATTTGTTATCCCTCATTTTGTACCATGATCAGCTGAGTTCTGCATTTTAAATCTCATATTAGCTTTTATTACTATAGCTAGATCAATGATATGGAATGCCATCCAAATGAGCTGTGAAAGATTACATATACCGTATTTTTTGGATTATAAAACGCACCCTTATTTTGAAGACAGTTTTGGGGAAAAAAAAGCTACAGTCGCATTTGAAAGATTTTTATTGAACAAAAATTCAATTTGATACTTTAAAAATTAGTATATATTGTTCTAAACACAAAAGAGCTCATTTGAATCCAAGGCAAACACTCAAAAATGATTTTTTATTTGTCGAAGTTAAGCCTGAAACGGCCTTATTCTGCTCCACATTAAACAGGGATCGTTGTGTAATTACAAGCCTTTGCACTCTCATCCATTACTATAGTTTATTTATTTTTTTA